ACTTCCGTAGTGATACAGCCTCGGAAACCCAAGGAGGGGTCGCTATGAGTCGGGGCCGACTCGACGGCACATAACAACAACAACAACAACAACAATGGCTAAGTAGTAGTATTCCACTGTATGTATGTACCACATTTTGTTTATTCCTTCATCTGTTGATGGGCATTTAGGTTGTTTCTACCTTTTAGCTATTGTGAATAGTGTTGCAAGTCTCTGAGTATCTGCTTTCAAGTCTTTTGGTTATATACTTCGGAGTGGAAATGCTGGCCATACAGTAGCTCTATTTTTAGTTTTCTGAGGAACCATCACACTATTTTCCATAATGGCTGTATTATTTTGCATTTCCACCAGCAACAGACAACGGTTTCAATTTCTCCACATCCTGACCAATATTTGTTATTTTGTTTTTTATCTTAGCCATACTAATAGGAGTGAAATGGTATCCCATTGTGGTTTTGATTTGCATCTATCTGGTGGGTAACGATTCTGAGCATCTTTTCATGTTTGAATGTTCCTTTGGTTAAATGTCTATTCGAGTGCTTTGTCCACTTAGCGATTGAGTTATTTTCTTTGTGTTGTTAAGGTGCTGAAGTTTCACATATATTTTGGTTATTAGATTCTTGTTGGATATATGGTTTCTGAAGATATTCTCCCAGCACGTAGCTTGTCTTTTCACTTTTTAGGTAAAGTCTTTTGATAAACAAAATTTTTAAATTTTTGAGGTCTCATTTATTTATTTTGTCCTCTGCTGTTTGTGCTTTCGTTATTATATTAGATAATCCATTGTTTAAAGCTAGGCCTGATAGCACTGCCCCTGTTTTTTTTTTTTTTTTAGGAGTTTTATAGTTTTAGCCTGCATGTTAGGTCCTTAATGTATTCTGAGTTTGTTTTTGTGTATGGTGTGAGGCACGGATCCTATTTCATTTTTATGCATGCAGAAATCCAATTTTCCCAGCACCATTTATTGAAGAAACTATTCTTTTCCCATAGAGCAGACTTAGCACCCTTGTCAAAAATCATTTGATCATAGTCGTGTGGGATTATTTCTATACTCTCAATTCTATTCCATCAGTCTGTCTATTGTTATACTAGTACCAAGCTGTGTTTTCATTTTATTTTTAACTTTTAATTGTGATTTGGGTGAAGTTGACATTCAACAGTTCATACACACATTTTGTTTTGTGATACTGGTTACATTCCCCACATTACCTTCCACTTCCTCCCTGTAAGGAGCTCTGATGGTGTACTGGGTAAGGCATTTGGTTGTTAACCAGAAGGTTGGTAGTTCAAACCCACCAGCTGCTCCATAGGAGGAAGATGAGGCAATCTACTTCCACAAAGATTTATAGCCTTGGAAACTCAATGGAAGTTGCTAATAGCTGGAATCAACTAGATGGCAGTGGGTTTGGTTTTTGGTTTTTCCTCCCTGTGGTGACCCTTTCCCTATGTCCTTCTTGCTTATGTATTCCTGCCTCCCCATCTTTCTCCTGTGCAAATGCTGCCCTTCTGATCCCCCAAGGTTGATTGTTCTAAGGAGAGCCATCTCCCTGGTGTAGATATTCAGCTCACAGACCCGTCTGTTGTTAGGCTGAGAGTTAAGCCTCAGGAGTAAGGTCAATTCCAGGCCCAAAGGGTAATTCAGGGCCACAGTCTCAGGCATGCCAAGCAGTTTTGATTACTGTAGCTGTGTAAAACAAAACAAAAAACACAAACTCACTGCCATCGAGTTGATTCCGACTCATAGCGATCCCTCCGTGGGTTTCTGAGGCGGTATCTCTATGGAAATAGATTGTCCAGTCTTCCTTCTGAGTAGTGGCTGGTGGCTTCGAATCACTAGCCCTCTGGTTAGCAGTCAAATGCCTTAGGTACTACGCCACCAGAGCTTCCAGCTGTAGCTGTATAGTAGTATGTTTTAAAATCAAGAAGTGTGAGTCCTCCTACTCTGTTCTTTTCTTTCAATGCTGTGTTAGCTATTCGGGGCCTCTTGGCATTCCACATAAAACTGAGGGCTGGTTTGTCTGTTTCTGCAAAAGAAGGCTGCTGG